CCCCCGGAGGTAGATCACTGGCAATATCACGTTGTGTTTTTAAGTATGGTTTTACTCTGATTTTTTCAAAAAAGTCCTGTTTGGAAGTGTTCTTGGGAATGCAACGGAAGTCGCAAATGGCGTTTTGATGAGAGTTAGAAACGCTTTGCAGTTGTAAATAGCCTCACCTGCCCTGTATTTTCACCGGTGTTATTCTAGCTGCTGCTGCTTTCCGAAGGGAAAGGGGCATTTTCTCCCGCCTGTGTCTCGCAGACTGCGCCTGCCCGCAGCAGCAACAAAACGAAGATCTGCAAACTTTTTTTTTTTTTGCTCGAGATGAGGAAATGGGAAAATGAGATGTCATATCGGCTCCTGAGAGCGTTGATTCATAAGGTCGTACGTGAGGTTCTGTAGTCGCTTGGAGGATTTGTTTCAGGCGTTATCCTGTTATTGGAAGTGTGTGATTCACCTTCTGAGAAAACAGAAGCTGCACACAAAAGGAAAAGCTTTGCTTTCTCCGCTGTGAAAAGCTGCCGCAAGCAGGGGTCCTATTAAGACAGCTGGAAAGTTGCTTCAGCTTGTTACGCTTGTAAGTTTTATTGGTGACTGGTTTTTGATTACACATTTGAATGCTGTGTGTTCCAGGTTGCCGAGTTTTAATTAAAAGGCAATAGTCTTGATTTGAGATTGCTTTGTTGTCTGCGGTATGCAGACAATACTGCACGCAAGCTTTTCTTTTTTTTTCCTCCCCTCTATTCCCCCCAATTTGTATCGTTTATTTAGGATTCATAAGATGACACCTTCAAGCATCTGCCTTAAATGTGAACTTCACACTCCTGGGAATTGTTTATTACTGTAAATTTCTTTTTAAGGAGTACAGTGATCAATTGAACAGGCTTTTTTCCCCCTCTTTCCGGTAGTTTGTGCCTCCGATCTAACTATTTTTCTAGTATGAAAAGATTATAGTAATATGAATATTGTGGACAAGGAGCATTCCAAAAGTGCTGTAGCTTTTCTGAGAAAGTTGGTTTGGGGTTTAAAAAAACCTGCAGTCCGGAGGCTTTGTTTTTACCATCAGTAACTTCATCAGTCCGTTGGGCCTTCGGAGTCAATCCCTTGCGGTGATGAAGAGAAAGATATTATTCATGATTTCAAGCAATTAAGTGTTTTCACTCTTCACTGCTCATGTTCAGAAATGTTCAGTAGTAGTATGAAATTTTGGTCTGCTTTTTTCCATGCCCGGGGTACAGCTTTTTGTGTGCGCTCCTGCGGATTTGAGCTGTTACTGTTCTTAGACGTTGTGTAACTGCCTTGGATTTTGTGCATACGTTTCCTTAACTTGATATTGCAGTTACGAGGAAAGAGCTCTGTATCTTGAAGCAATAATCCAGAATCATAAAGAAGTAATGACATTTGAAGATTTTGCAGCTCAGGTCTTTTCTCCCTCTCCTAGCTACTCCCTCAGTGGAACTGGTGAGTCTCTGTAATGTTTTCTTCCCTTTAGCACTAAGAAGCACTTGAGCAGCAGATGTACACCTGTTTTTTGTAGATAAATGCTTGCAAATTTAAGACGACCATTCTTCCCCTGAATCAACTAATGAATATCAAAAGGAACGATGACATTCATTTTAATTTGTTTTGCATCAGAGCTATTCACCCAGTTCCTTTCTTCAGCTATCCTGTTAACCCCCGAATCTAGCAAGGTTAATGAACTTTCTCTCAGTAATGTGCTCTGGTTCATTCAGGAGTGTGGGTTTCTTGCTGAGCTGGGAATATGTTGTTCAAAAGCTATGCCTGAATCGGTGCTTACTTATCGAGAAATAGTTCCTCACAGTAGAAGCCGTTGCTACTAATGCTAAATGGGGATTATGCTGCTGAGATACCAGGGTCAGGGATTAATGCAAAAGAAATGTAAGAATAGTATTCTGTTAGAAAATCACAACAGCAGTGCAGCATGCTAACGTTTTCTATGTATGTTAGCAAATTTCAGACGTCCTTCCAACCCTGGGCTTGGAACCTACCTGTTTCGGTTTTTTATAAATACGTATGTATATGTGTGTGTTCGTGTGCGTGTATTTATATGTCTACATGCATATACATATATATACACGCATTTATGCTGATGGTCATTCATCTACCCTATTGAAAGATGGAAATGTAATGCAAAATTCTGTGGATTTATTCCATATGTGTCTTATCCAGTTTTTAAGCTGTCAGTGAGCTATGAACTACTACTTTGCTATTTTGATTAAGCTTAAATAAATACCTTCTGAAAGGAAGCACTGTCTCTGAAAAACAGGTTTCGAGCACCCTCAAGATTTGTTGTTTCCGTCTTCCAAAGAAGTGGATGGTCACTGTATGATGGATTCTTTAATAAAGACTCCCTAATCCCCCCTTTTTTTTTTTACACTCGTTGGGTGAAACTGGCCCTTTCTAATTATTTCCTGATACTCTTTTTTGGATTGTTTAACAGATTATTTCCAACCTCTATAAATGTTGCAGGACATCTGCTCTATTTCCCTTTAGTCTGACTTGTTAGCAAATATCTTCCATCTAAACTGAAAAATTGAAGGAAGAAATTAAATTTACTAAAATAAATCACTTACAAATAAAATCAGCCGGGCATCATTGTTTAACGTTACTGGCTCCAATCCTTGAGCTTTCAGAGCTTTGTTAGGAGATAAGAGGTATATGCATGTACTTGTCTTGGTCGCCAGTAGCAGCAGGCAGAAGGCTTTGGAGATAAGCAAGCTGGCAGAAGTAAAGGGGAGCCAGTGCGATTTACATAATCGCGCCTCTGCTTCCTGGAGAGGCGTCAAGAAACACAGGGATGGCCTCTATTGATCTTTGCTGAACTGGAATACTAAACAACATTAGAAAAGCTTATAACTTAAAGCTTTGATTAATGTTTTCTACATTAAAAAGTAGAACAGCTGTGAATTAAATTCTTTTATACACTCTGCCAAAAGTCTGAGACAAAAAAAAAAAAAAATTATCAATTTCAATAGAGATGTAGATTTTGTGCCCGGTGTTGTTAGCACTTTGAATCATTTAGCTGTTTGCTTATCAGCAAATAAAAATATAGATATGTTGGTATATTCTAAATGTTTTGTTCTGTGCATACTGTTTTTCATTTGTTTTTTGCACATTCTTATTACAGCGCTCAATGATCTTATTCTAATCAAATGCAGTATAACAAGAAAGGACAGATTCATTTCATAATGCGGTACTCGTACTTTCTAAATTCTGCAGTATATTTTCTATGGAAAAAATATTTTAAAGTGAGTTCATTAATATGTACTTAAGTTATTCAGAACATTGTTAAATAATAAGCACTTGAGTGTGATTTTACGATTTCATAATTTTATTTTTTCTTAGATTAAAACTTGTCACAACCAGATCCTGTTTTTTCAAACTTCCAGGCATCCTAAGTCAGAATTTTAGCTCATGCTCTTAACGAAACTAGGGACCTATCATGATTTTTGGAGTCAATATTGTATTGTGCACGTTGTCCCCAAGTTATCAGTTCATGATTTTCTTTTTGAGTAATCATAGACAAGACAAAAAGCTCACATTTAGGCTTGAATTTAGAAACTTCCCAGGCGTGCATCTTTTACTACCCCTCCTACTGGTTTTATGCTGGGGTAAACTAACTAAAGCTCTGGTCTGTGGAAAGCTGTAAGAAATGGAGATTTTTGCAAAAGCAATTTATGATCACTGGAATATGCTGGAAGTTTAACACAGCAAGCTAAGTATATCATTTCTAAATTTTAGAAGACAACCATGCAAGACTATCAGCCACGAATGAGGCAAGAATAACTTCTTCGGTGTTTTAAAATAGAGAGTTTTCTGGATGTGGCAAGTCAGTCTTGGCAAAGATGTGAAGCCACGTCTCAGGAAAGTCTCTCTATTTAAAAGGCAGTCTCCCCACGCTTACCTACAAATTTACCTGAATATTTAGTTGAACGTTACTACAAGTTCTATCAGTAAATGTCACTAGGATGTACTTTTTCATCAGATACTCTCTTAACGCCGTAATTTAAACCAGCAAGGAGACTGAACGCGAGTCTCGTAATTTTACAGTTGTTGCTAACTGTTCCCAGTAGTCAAACGTTTAGCCAAGTCCTTATCCTGCAAACAAGATTCCTGGTCGGGCTTTCACATGTCGAAGAATGCCGGGAAAGGCAGCAGGGAGCTGCTGCAGCGCTCGCTGAGATCGGCTTGCGAGATCAACAGCGTTTAGGTCAATATGAAATATTTCTATGTTTATGGCATTTTAGCTTGCTGTCACCCCGCCACGGTCCAGGAGCTATAAGCTCCTGATGCCGGCCCTCTGCTTACCACGCTGGCACTTGCAGGCTGGTGCTCATGGCAGGCCCTGCTTTTCCCAGTTGTCTACTCCTAACCCAAAGACTACCTGAAAAAAGTACCCTGCTAATGTCCAAGAAATACTTACTACTTTGTGATTCATCTTCTATTATGAACCAAATATACAGGGTTGACACTTGTATCTAGGTGAAGATACAGCATATTTTGATCTTCCCTTAAACTGTAATATCTCTTCTTTAAAATAAAGAACCAACTCACATGAAATTGCCTTGAATTAATTTGCATAGCTCTGTTCATTCCTATTAATGATTAGAAAGGGATTCTTCCTTATTTAGATTCACATGCACTGTGTGTGCAAAAGTGGTCGTCTGCCACTCAAGAAACAGTCATTACATTTTTCTCCAGGTAAAAGGGGAATTTCTGTTCTGAAACATGTGGAGAAATTTATGGACCTGACAAAGATCTGTCTGGGTTTTTCCCCCTCTCAAGAAACAAGCCAACTGGAAGTACTAGCTCTGTCTAGATTAAACTTTTGGGGTAAATTTAAGATTAATTCTTCCATGCGCTTATTCTTAATACCACCTGGTTGTAATCCTGTCATCACTGCATATACATGTGCGCAATAGAAAGGATCAATGAGATAGTATACTTTTTATTAAAATTAAGTTTATTTTTAGTAGTTCATACAGTATGAGAAGCTAATCAAGGCCGTTATATGAATTGAATATGTAGCTGCTAATGACATGCGTTATTGGTGTATTATTAACAATGATCTATTTATTTAAATTAAATGTGTTTTTATTTTTCCTGTTACTGCCTCTAGGGATGTTTCCCCAAGATTCAAATGTGACATGGGTTTTTTAAAGTGTGCTCTGGCTTAGTCTCCCGTATCACAAATAGTCTTGCAGGTGCTTAATTTTATGCATGAGACTAGTCCAATTGACCTCTCTTGCCGTTTTCAGAAGTAGAGCTTTAAACTCCCTATATTCATTATAGATATCCCTGTATATCTTAAGCATTGAAAATACAGACTAGTAAGCAGAATGAACATCCCTGAACTCATTTAGGGGATGTGCAGATTAGGAACAAAAGATGAGAATACAGTCCTTTGTTGTTAAACTGGTACATTACATGCTGTATTTTAATTAGGCCGGGTATGAGAGTCAACCCAGGAAATCCTCAGTAATCCAACACTATTGAATTATTCTTATCCTTTCCCTCTGCAGATTTCTCTCATTTTAAGGATGGGGTTTTTAGCTGCTCTCTTTTCCTGTTCTTGCTCCCTCAGCCAAAACAGCAAAACGGTTATTTAACAAAATACTTAAACGGCGCACAAACGTTAGGAGATAATTAGATGGTGCTAATTATCACCACTTTTAAAAAATCATTACTATTAAACATGTGCAAACAGATACCAAAACAATCCAACTTTAATTACCTCTGTTGACCACGAAGTATTATATTGTAATTTAACATCAGAAGCCAGAATGGTTTTAACTCGTAGAAGAGGGAAATATTAGGAAGTTCTAGAAAAGAAAAAAAAAACAACTCTTCCGACAGAGAAAGCTTTACATTTGACAACTTTATACTTACAGGAGTAGATTTCTGCTTTCTAGAGAACCTACAAACCTGTTTTTCAGTACTGTAGATCTGCAGTTAGTGCTTCAAAGGGTTAATTGAAATGGGCACACTTGACTGCTGAGAGGACTGATCTAATCACTGCCATATCCAAGTGCATCTGTTCACCATGAGGTCATTCTTGTGCATGCTAATGATTTGGAAAATAAAGCATAATGCTTAACGTTATCAGAGAGGATATAATGTAAATCTTTACTTTTTTTAGCTGCTAATAGCTATTGTGGAATGAAAAGGAAGGCAAAAGTATCTCAGGTTGTTTCTTACAATTTTAATTTTTTTAAAGCATCGTTTTCAGTGGAGCGTCAGGAAAACTGTGCTGGAAAACTCCGGCATGTGGTATCTGTTGATAAATGGATTCTTTAATGAATATTATAGCATTGCCCAGGAGCAACACTTGAGTTGAGGAACTGTAGACATTTTCAGCATTCCCAGGTTTTAAAGCTTTGGAACCCTTGCCTGCTTATTTACAGAAAGCTGAAATTTTGCAGGCTTTTGGTTGAAAAGGT